AATGTTGTTCGCCCGTGTTTCCTATTTACTCCCTATGTTGTGTACACTTGTTTTTAGGAGATACTATTGATCTTTAACTAGTAATGCAAGCATGTTAAAAGCTTAGGCAGAAGGATCAAAGAAATGTACATAGGATGTAACACTTGTATAATTGATCCGAGTGATGAACAATATGTAGTCATTGGTTCCAAGAGCCCCAACCTCTGGGAGGATTTGGAAGAAGACGTATGAAATTAGTATCAAGAATCCGTTTACCACATACCAACAAAGTGTGATGATTTATGAAAAATTGATAGTCGACGGACTAGACGATATCGGAGTGTTAAAGGTAAGAAGTTCTACGATGACAGGGTTGAGATTCTGTATAAATCGGATGCTTTCGTGAGCCTCCAGCCCGGGCGTAGAAGTATGGATGTATACAAATAATGTAGTTTTAGAAAAGAAAAAAAAAATTGTCATATATGGATATTTATGTGTAGAATGATTGTAACTATATGTTACGTGATCGTTCAATACTTTTATAAATTTACTAAGAAATCTATTTATCGATACATACATGTAAAATGATTAATGAATGGGTGTTTATGTTTCAAGAAGACACAAACGTTTCAGAATCTTGCTGAAAGCATTGATTTGTACTAAAAAAAAAAAAAAAACTGGAAATGATCCACATAGAAATTCCGAAATTAATATGCACCATCTTCATACTATTTTTACTATAGACGTGACGATAACAATGCATGCAAAACATTCTGAACTTCTAACCAGTTTTGAGTTAGTTATTCAGTTCATTGGTCAGTAATAAAAATAGTTTGTTCCTTTGCTGCGCATATTGCATCAATGTTTGTCAAATCATTTTCAATCATGTTGTCAGCTTTTTAGCAATCAATGCAAAAATCTTTTCAAATGGAGATTTTCCTGTGCATTTCCAAAAGCACAGCGTTGTTGTTCAAGCTACACATTAAATCTCGCCATATTATGTTCTATTTTCTAGAATATCTACCACGAGGCCTTCACAAGATGACCAAAGAATATGCAGCTCTGATTTTGATCTCTCCACATCAGCTATCGCCTGACATAATTACTATAAATGTGAGATTGTCTCAAACACATTTATGGTTGCCCCTTGAAATTCTACGCTATGCGACAAAACCTGACTATCATTTTGCAGCTCCATAACTTTCTTAGACAAAGTAATCAAGCTCTCTATGTGATGCTTATTAGTTAAAGGATTTTTCAAAATCATCATAATTGAATGAGGTAATTGACCTAGATCAAATTAAGCTAAATCAGTTGCCAAAACATGGATTTAACTTCAAAATAGATTTAACTTTATTTAGATTTAACTTTATTTAGCAAAACATTAGGGGCAAAAAGAGCGTATTCTGAAGCAACATTCTACACATACATAGGTTTACCAAATGAATTCTTTTCCAAAAAAGGCTAAACTATGGGTTTCATAAACAACAAATACCTTATAGGCCAGAAAAAATGACTAAATGACCTCCGAAAAAACACTTGTTGACTTGGATCAGCATTCTCTTAAGCAGTAGTACTTTATGCAGCCTTCCATTGTCAACAAGACAACGATGGTTAAATACTCTGGATATGAAAAAGTACTATAATCAAATCGAATGTGTAAAGGAAAGAGGGCTATGAACTAACACAGTAGTATCTACTTCATTATCCACAGCAACCTCAGGTCTATCTTATTTGCTTTGACTTTCAACATTGGCCGGAATTACCGGTGACTCTGCATGGAACAAATGATGAACAACTATTTGAACTACTGTATGAAAAACAGATAGAACAGTTGCATGTAGCTACTTAAATACTTGCACGGGCTCTTGACAATAAGATACAATGTGATATCAAGATAGTGCCCATACCAAATGTTGCATGAATATGTGCACCATGGAGGACAAAGTGAATACACTTTGTCTATTCAAAACGTGTCTAGTATGGGTTTTGGATGGTTTAACAGATCATTTCTAAGAACACAATTGCATTAAGGATAGAGACATAAACTGAGCAATGGCCATTAGCGTATAATGAATCGTCCTAGTAATTCCCAACCTTGCCATAGGATCCAACTAAAGTGACGAATCTATAAATATAAACAAACTTTGGCATAGGATTATCAACCTTGGCGTAGTATGATCATCAGATGGCCTATCTGAAGCTTTACGTGGAAGCGGCGTTGAGGACGGAAGAAGGGTGTGGATGACACAAGATTTCCACCCTCCACCCCCTCAACAAGCACAGAGATGAAGAAAATATGGCCGGCAACAAAAGTGTTGCATAAGCAGCAGCCCAACACTCAAGGATCGCGTCCTGTGAACAGAAAATATGACGAAGATCAATTAATAGTGTCGAACCTTGTCATAGGATAGAAAGTAAATGTAAAACTCATAAAACAAAACCAACTTTGCATAGGACGATCAACGTTGGATAGTATGATCATCGGATGACCCAGCTATAGGTTTAGGTGGAAGCAACGTTAATGACGGAATAAGGGTGTGGGCATCACTGGATTCGTAGCCATCCCTTAACGATCACAAAAATTGGCAAAATATGCCGGCAGAAAAATCGACATATAAAAAGTAGTCCAACATTCTAGGATCGAGTCCTGGGAATGTCAATTATGAGGAAGAAGAATTATTCAGGACAAAAGGAATACGTAGCAAAAAGTGTAAAACGAACCATAAATGGACCAAGAAAATACTCAAAACTATAAACGAAGCTAGGAATAGAATGATTAATGGTGGTCTAGAATGATCATCGAATAACCCATGTAAAAGTGTAGGTGGAAGCGGTGTCGGAAGAGGGAATAATGATTTGACGGTGTCTTCGTCAGCATCCGATCAAAAAAATGTTGTTCTCATCACGCGTCGCTGAATGCTGAATTGATTTCATACACGTGAAAAAGAAACCATGCGTAGCTTCCAAGGCAGGGCACATTAGTCAAACGAAGAAGATTGTGACAGGCTGAAAATATCGATAAAGTACATGAGCAAAGCTAGAATTTCATGCGGCAAAACTTTGGCTTCGATATTTATTTAATATATATATATATGCGAGTCGTGTGAGAGAGCGATTTACGAATTTTTTATCAAACTAGAAATTTGAGCAATACTTTGCCATTATTGAATGAAATTTTATCTAAGAATTTGTGGATCTTGAAATTTACAATTAATCAATTATCTAGCTATCTACTATTCTTCACGTTATGAATAGTATTTATTATCTATTAGTCACTCTTAATAACTCTTTCATCATATGTTTATTTCATACTTAGTCCTTATATATATATATGTTAGATTGGGTTTCTTTTACGTGTTATAGCCCAACAATTTATTAAAACTCAAAAGTTATGAGCCCATATCTTTATAGCCCATATGTTTATTTTGTGTCTTAATTTCATTATTGCATGGTTGACTTTTGAAGAGAACAAATGGAGCCACAATTTTAATCAACACGAAAATCAATAGCAATGGAGGATTCCTTTAATTTGGTTCCTATCAACAATTTTCTATCATCTTAAATTTTTTAAGGTATCATTGAATCTTAAAAAATTTATTTATATGGATTCTTTTAAATCTTGTTAGGTTGTGTTTGTTTGGGGCTTTGGATTTTGTATTGGGATTTGAATAGTAAAAAATTTCAATTTGAATAGTTGTATGATGTGATATAAATAAGTATTGATGTGATATTTTGAATGTAAATTTTATTTTTAGTATTATATAAAAAATAAAAAATAGGTGTTTGATTTGATGTTTTTGGGAAAAAAAAATTGAATGAATAGTTGGATTTAAATTCAATCCTCCAAACAAACACACCTTTGATATTTTGGAATGAGTTATTTTATTATTGAGAAATCTTTTGCAATTAAAATTTGATTTGTTGTGGAATCTTGTAATAACTTGTGATTTGAGTTTTTTTTTTTTTTTTAATAACTTATAGTTGAGATTTTTTTTTTTTTTAATAAATTGTGATTGAAGTTATTTTCAATTGTACGATTGATATAATGAAACTTTATTTTGGTCGTGTGACAAATCTTATGTTTTTTTTTTTTTTTACAAGTGGTTTTCATGTAAAAATTTCAGTGTCTATATTTTTATTTTCATGATTTTATTATTTTTGTGCAAAAAAAAATTATGAAGAAAAGTTTTAGGGGAACAAAGTACATGATTCTTTGAGGTTAGAGCACCCACAAAGCCCACATCACCAGTTTTTCAAAAAATAAAAAATAAATTTTGACAAAGGAAATCCTGCAGGGAGCAATCCTTCTTGGGCCTAGGTAAGTTTTCTTTTATATAATATATCAATAATTTATAAGATTTTATTTTATTAAAATATTATATTTATATTTTGGTGTATAAAAATTTTATTTAATATTTATATATTTTTTTAATAATTATATCTATTAATTTAATCATAATTCTTGTTTAAAATAAATATGTTATACAATGGAATATTTATCGAAGCCAAAAAGTGGGAAGACAAGCAACATTATAAAAAAGCTTGGAATGGGCGTCGCTCACACCAAGTTTTATTGAGGCTATCCTCACTTTTTGACTTCTATTATTATACCATTGTCTGTGTTTTTTTATGAAAATACGTTACTAGGGACAAAGACTGCAACAAATTCAGTCATTTAGGTGTGACCACACTTTACATCTATTTTCTTAGATTCACCGTGGGTTCTTACATATTCTCATATACTTTTTTCCTTTCCATTTTTCCCAACAGCGTGACATCATCTAGACGCTAATATGTTATAAGAGGTTTCAATAAACAACTTTCATATTCACTCTCTCTCAAATAAAGACATATTGTCACTGTAACTATTCCCTTTCTATAAAATTTCCAGTGATTGTGAGTAGTCAAGAATTTCTAGAAACAATTTGGGGATAATGATTGTACAAGGGAACTAAATAAAACAAGAAACGCCATAGAAGCCAAATAAAAGGGAACTGAAGAAAACAAGAAACACCAAAGAAGCAAAATGAAGGCCATATATTACAAGGAAGCAGTAAACACATGATGGTAGTTAGACAAAGCAGTTTGTAAGCCAAACACAAATTAAGCAAAGGTTACGTTACTCGTTACTACGTTGTCTGAGTTAACTTTAGAAAACACACCTTAAATGGCGTCATCCTAATCAAAAAGTTCAATGCCCCAACAATTGCTACACACGGCCATCCCACAAACATTGAGCATTTACTTTGGTTGCTCTAAGCAAATTTTCGACTTCCTTAGGAGGGTGTAAGCCTAAGGTCTTGGCACGTTCCAATCGCTCGAGTCTGCTCATTCCTAAGCACGGCCCATAAGCCATGTTCATGTCAAATTGACGTAAAACCTCCTCGTTGGCATCATAGTCATCTGTGTCGAAGTCAAACAAACAAAAATAAACTACTGTAAAAATAGCACACATATTCGTTTATATGCTTATTCTTGGCATGGAAATCACACAAAAGCTCCTAATAACCGCCTAAAACTTCACAATACAGTATGGGTATTAAGAGTTATAAATGTACACTTGATAATACCCTATATCGGCTAAATTCACATATAAATACAGAATTGATCATCACTATTCTATCAAGTAAAAATAGATTGCATTCTATGATTACATGTTAAAGTTAGGAGCTGAAATTGACAATGCGAACACGAAGAACCTCACCAGAATCAAGTGTAAAAGACAAATTAAGTCACATGAAGAAATCATTAAATAGCTCAATCGTGTCAATTCTAATTGTCTAAATCACGCGGGAGACTAAGTTGATTATTATTACAGCTAACACCTGAAAATGAAATTGAACATCCATGGTTTTTCTTTTTCAACCACTTTTTTGTTTATTGATTGCGACAAGAATGTCAGTATCCGGCAGTAGTTTCCACAATGAATTTTCTACAAAAGACAGAATGCATTCGCACACGTATTTTATTTGGCCCTAACTACATACTGAGGCAGAGTATTCGATGAAATAGTTCTACAAGATTTTTATCCTATCCATTGAAATAAACAAAACAGGAAAATATATATATATATATATCTAAAATAAGGACAGAGAGGACCTTGAAGATCAAGAGAACCATGGGCGAAGAGAGCAGGAGGCTGGGCGGCTGAATTCTTTGACTTGGATGATTTTTTTGATGAATTCGACTTGGATATGCCGGATTTCTTCTTTTGCCTGTAGAAACCCTTCATGTCTGACGCCATTAAATCCTCCCTGCAGAAAATTTGTAATTCGAAATATGATTAGAAAGCGCATAGTGCAGAGGCTGCACTGCAGCATTGGTAGCCATCATCATCTCATACGCCAAACTAATTTCCCCTTTTTTTATATTTAACACACGTCAAGAAACTCCTGGAATTGAGAATCAATGATAGCCAGCCCGTACGGCCCCAATCACGAACCAACCAACCAAAAAGAATAGAGATCCATCGTTCCCAACTTCAATTAATCAAAACAAAAAAAGTTCAAGTGAAACAGCAATAGACAGGTATTTTAAATCAACCACCGGAATCGGGCAAAAGCGAGATACTACATTGTTCAACCACAATCAAATCCAAGTTATCTATTAAATAGCCCAAACGGAAATCGAATAACTCACTTAGGGCCGAGAACCGTCGAGCAGCGATATCACACAATCGAAGAACAACAGCCCCGACCGAAAGAAGACAGAAAGAGAGAGAATTGGGGAGAATGCTCACCGTTGGAATTGGAGTCTTCCTGCCAAAGAAGGAGGGAGATGGTGAACCGTGGCGGCGGTAAGAGAGAGAGACGGCGGCGATGATGCGGGGGTGAAAGGGCAACGAAACTAGAGAAGGAGAAGGGTCAGAAGTAGAAGAGAGCCTGTTTTGTTTTTAAATTACGGATAAACATTAAGGACATTCAGCACAATGCTCTTCATAGATTTTATTGAATTATTTGTTGATTTATTTGAATTTTATTAAAATTTATAAATTTGTTACTTAATATTTTTTTTATTAATTGATATAATTTTAAATAGATGGAGTATACTTATGTGTATATATATATAATTCAAATATTCAATAAAAATATTTAAAATACATTAATTGTCAAAAAAATATATTTATTAATATTATTATTCTTATTTTTATTTTTATTTCAATAATAAAAATAATTTTAAATTTATATTTTTTATATTATTATTTTGATCGAATTTATTATATTATTATTTAAGGTGATTATTTTTTTTATAGCAGCCTATTTAATTGTTATTATTATTTTTTATATAATTTTTTACACAAAAAAAATATAGGGGTGATTTTAAATATCTCTGACACATAATAAGTTAATATTCAGTCCTTTTTTTATAATAAATTGATTTGCGGTCCTATTTTTTTTACTTGATTTGTATAAACTCCCTATTTATATTTTTGTCTTTATTTTAATTTTTAAATATTAAAAAATAAGTAATACTTCGATGTTATATATATATACCCATATAACTATTATATATACTCATAACTCTAAATATATACCTATGCTTGTTATATACATGTATTTTGTAAAAAAATAAAAAATAAAAAATGAAGAACAGTTATAAACTTGTTGACAAGATATAAGATAGTGGGGTGAAGAAAAATCAATACTCACAATTTTCATTCGCAAATAAAATTTTACTGAATTTTCACAATTTCCACCCGCTGTCGATTGTTCTTATTTTCACTCATTGTCCGACGAACTGAAAAACATGTCGAAGAAGAAGTTGGAAGCGAGCCCATCACTCTGATGCAACGTGAAGAAATAAATTTTATTTTATTCTTCCTAAAATTTTTATTTTATTTTAACCCTAGATTGTGTGTTCAATTGCAGTTTAAACTTCGGCTGCTATATGGTATGCCTCCGCTTGTCTACAAGAAATCCTTGTTTTCCGGAATATGTGCTTAAGCATAGTCGTGTGTTTAGGGTTTCACATTGTACATTTCCGAAAGGTTCTATGGGAAGATGAGTTCAATTTGACTACGATTGTTTACTTTTACATGTTGGTTGGTTGTTTTAAGAATATTAATCATGTATGGGTCAATATTGTGTTACAAATTAAATCGGCTAAGAATCAGTTATGATATTATTATGTACCTATAATTGCATCTTTTAAACCTAGTATGCTATTTGATATACTTACGAAGGTTATATATGTACCTGAGTTGTGTTTTGATGGGCTCTCACGTATACTTGATAAACCTATAAAGTATTTTGTGATACCACTGTTACGGACTGATATTTATTTTTTCACAGAATGGAAAAGGAGAATAAATTTGTGGTTAGCCCGTTTGTCATTCCTCACTTTTATAATAAGATGGAAAAGCTTAAGAAGGAAATGTTAGATTTTCATATTAATGAAATAAAAAGGACTCCGTTTAGACACTTTCTCGATTGTCCAAAAATGAGACTCATGTGGCATCGATTACTGGATTGGGTCAATAGTTATTAGCCGGACAACATGGCCTTTACTATTTGCACGGACTTAAAGTTGTTGTTTTCTATGAAAGAATTTTACGTGGTGCTCGTACTATATTGGAAATGAGTGTACATTACGGAATGTCATCGTTCAATGCGAGAGTTTTGTCCATATTTTTAAGGGAAGCCACTCTCCCTACCTCGGTTCGAGATTTTGGAGAAGTTGAAAGAGGCTCTAGCATAGGGGCGGGAGCCTCTAGCTGATTCTGACGTTGCTCGCTTATATATATATATATATTTGTAATATTTTATTTGTAACAACAAACTATTGTGTCCCAAATTTTCTTTTGGGTTATGTTGATGACCTCACTTGTATCAGTGACTATGCGTGGAGAGCAGCATGTCAACAATATTTATTAGGAGTGTAGTGAATGAGAAGAACAGAGTAGTGGTATGTAGTTTATGGTTATTCTCTAGCCATGTAATGATTACTCATGTTCATATCAATAATTCCAACAATAACACATATACTGACTTAAGACTATTGCACATACCCTCGCTCATAGAGAGAGTGCTCCCACGGAGTACCTTAATTGCCTCCATCATCGAGGAATTGACTTATATCGACCATATTGAAGAATGCTTGTAACTATACATATAATAGTTACGCATTCGTTATTGATACTTAAACACATATTAGTTTTGTATACATTACAATATAATAGATTGATTTTCCACAAATACTTTCAGTAACAACATGTGTACCAACTTAACATTTACGTATATACCCCTATTGATAGGAGAAGTGCTCACGATGTAATTCAAGGAAACTTGTTGCCTCATATGAAATTCTAATTGGAACCACCAATTAACACAAGATTGTATACCCCCAAAGCTGTGATTACGTACCTGCAATATAATTTCAGATGCTTCAGTAACATGTATCTACACCTTGGTTATCTATGGTTCGGAAACAGGCCATTCTCGATTCAAAATTTTCAATTGATATTGGTAAGCATGGATAAATTAATCACGATTATTTTCTTGCGATACCCCAAAGTGTATGCAACGGTAACTAACACATGTTTACTATAGATTGTTAAACAAGTCATAAGCGACTAGGGTAAGTTATGCTGATTGTTACTCATATATCACTGCTTTCATGGATTGATTGGTTATTGGACCTATTATCCAGTAATATACAATGTAGCACACAAAACAATCTTCGGTCCACCAGGGTTGAGAGAGGAAGTGTTTTCACCGAGTTTACACATTGTGAGATTGACTAAAATAAACTATATTTGAGGATACCTGGTACTACAAATTTAATGCCTACGAAATCATTATTTATACCTCCTACATCAAGGTTTGTAGTCGGATCACATGGTTACATTCCGGAATCATAAATGTAGATACCCTAGATAAGATATTACGTACCTACAATAACAATCAAATATACTTCAGTTACGATTACATATGCCTTGGTAACCTGTGGCTAAAAAACTGACCTTTTCGCTTAAAATATTTACTGAATGATGGTAATCATGAATGAGTTCAACCATGGTAGTGTTTCCCGAGACACCCCGAAGTGTATGGAAAGATAACCAATATGTATTTACTATTGATGATTAAACAAGTCATAAATAACTAGTTAAGTTGTATGATATATGTATAATCATATTTCAACATTCACTTGTATATGGCTAAACAAGTCATAAGTGAGTAAGTTTAATTATGTTGATTGTTAGTGTAAATGATTGCTACCATAAATTGAAAAATGTTAGACCTATTACGTATTAATCTACACTGTTTCATATGCAACAATATTCAGTGAGGGATATACTTGCATAGTACATGACTTAGCTGGGTAGACAAGTAATCCAGAAAGGGTATGCCATACCCCCAAACTTGCATGTTGTACAAAATTCTAGTACTTGTGTACCTCTTGTAATCTTGCGTGTAAATGAACAATGTAATCTTATGGCAGGGTCTTCGAACTGTGTACCTTCATAGCTCTAGTTAATGTCTGTGATGATTTAGCATAGGACCTTGATAGATTCCGAAACAAATTAAGACTTAATCCTCATATGTATATTTCTAACGAATGTGACATGATGCAACACAATATGTTCGTGTACTTTATGCCACTGCGATTATTATTTATCAAGACCTCACTGACATTGTTTGGACAGTAATACGTTACCACTAGATGTGCTTCGAGAGATAAAATAAACACATCCCAGATAATTTGTATGCCTCTATTCATTTTTTTTGAAACCTGTGTCATTAATTATTATATACACACAAGAACTGTCACATACCTGCTGTTTCTATTCATGTACCATCAGAATATCTAAATTACAACAACAATTCTATACAATTGGGATCTTATTATTGTATATTTACCTACCACATTACTAGAGCCGTCAAAATGGGTTGAGCCCGTCGGGTTGGCCCGCCCCGCCTTGCTTTTAAGAAGGGTTGAGTTGTGATTTTTTAAGCCCGTTAAAATGCGGGCCTAAATGGGCCAACCCGCATGGGCCGCGGGTTGAGGGTGGACTAGCCCGCAGTGGGGCGGATTAGCCCGCGGGTCAAGTAAATATAATAATTAGTGTTCACTCGTCTAACTAAATGTAGTTTTTTTACTATTTTTTCTGTCATATTAAATAATTATAATAAAACTAATCGAATATTAATATAAAAATATTTTTTAATTTTTTATAAATTACAAACATACCATTATAAATAAGTTAAGACGAATAAAATAAAATTTATATTATCATTAGCTTAAATAAATTATTAATATTGTCTACACTTTGTTTTTTTTCTCTAACTATGTTATTAATAACATTGTTATTTGTTTCAATTTTTCATCATTTGTTTTGTTCGTCTTCCATTTTATTATTTTATAATTTTACAAATTCATAAAATTAATTATGATTTATTTTTAAAATGAAGTATTTCATATTATTAATTTTTTTAAATACACCAATTAATAATATTTAGAATTGAGCATTTTTATATTTTTTATTTATTTTAAAATATTTATTTTTTAAATTCTACAATAAAACTATTTTTAGCTATTTTTAAATATTAATTACGAAAATATTTATAGTATTAATATTCTTTTAATATTTTTAAAAAGCCCGTAGGCTAACCCGCTTAGTTCGCCACCCGCCGGTGGGTTGGGTTGGACTGATGAAATTTTGATCCGTCCCGTCGCAAGTTGGCCCGCAAACAACCCGCTTATTTGCTCGTTAGTATGGGTTGTGGGTCAATCCGCTCCACTAACCCGTTTTGACAGGTCTACACATTACATTGCATCAATCATGCCAAAAGTAATTACACACCAAAAATGATATTCAGGATTAAAAAAAAAATTACACCTCCAAAGGCCTACAGTACTGCAGCTTTACAATTTCTTTTGATGTGCCTAATACGATAATAACTACCACATTTTCGTGATTGTTTTATCTATTGAGAGTCATACCGTCGTTTCTTCGGACGGCCTAGTTGCACATAAAGAGATGTTTTGTTGCTCGCTTCTAAACCGTACACTCATGTCCACAAATAGTACATTTAACATTATATGCATTCTCCACGTATTCGCCACATCATCATCGCACAACAATGTCACATAGTTTTTCTGGATAGGTGAAATATATTGGAGTTTTACATGAAGCAAGTTTGGTATGAACTAGTGATTAACAGTTTCTGATTGCTTTCATCCATTTTCATCTGACCTAATTAAGCCTATACAATTAATATTTTTGCCTCACCATCTACAATTATATTATCAAACTAACAAATTTAACTATAAAAACACTAAAAACCATATTCTTATAAACCGCACAACCGAAAATACACTACTTTGTGTATAAACAATCGATCAAAAATTTTCTAAATAAATTTACACTATTTCGTCTATACATAATGCTCCCACAAAAATTCCCATCAAACAACTGGTTTTATGCCTTACTTAAAATCTACTCATTTCAAATTGAGTTACTAACCTTTGAAATTTCTAAGGTCAATTGTCTTTTTGCAGATACATGGTGCAGCCGCCAGGGAGGCGACGTCCTCGCCTGAAAAAAAAAATCACTTTCAATTTATACGAAAAAATAAAACAAATACAGTTCGACGGCGGAAGAGTTGGATGTTCAAGATCGACAACTTGGAAATGAATGGGTGTTGAAGATTGGAATAGCGTGGACAACCACCGGTGTTTTCTTGATAATTATGCTCGAAAAACTGTCGAAGAAATTTCTGTTTTTTTTTTTTTTATTATTATTATTGGTAAGGTACGGCTCTGGGGAGTTGTAAGGAAGGGAAGAGAATAAATAATTATGAAAAGTAGGAATTGCAGCCAAAACTTTTATTTGGGGACTCATGGTAAATAAATTTTGACTGATGGAAATTTAAACTCAATTATGCCAAAAACACATTTTTAAATAAAATTACATTAAAATTACTGTTTTTTTAATTAAAATTTTAAAAATAACATAATTTTAAAAAAAATAAAGATAAATGTAAATCAAAATCGATAATTATTTAACTAAAATCGACAAACTGAAATTAAAATAAAAAAAAAGTAAAATTAAAATTATTAAAAATTTAATTTTGATTTGACCTTTAAAAAAATTGAGACCCATGATTTTGATTTCAAGCATCTAAGCAAACTATTTTGTCATTTTAACTATATATAATTTTGATTATATTTTTTAATAATAAAATCTATGAATTTTTAAAATATATAATTATTAAATACACCACAATTTGTTTAAAAACTTTTAAAATCATATTTGAATTCAAACGAATGAAACTTAAAAAATTTTATATTCTAAATTAATTTAAAATTACCAATATAATATTATAACTTAATATTATTATATTATTAAATTTTATTTCGTGTCACAAAAAATGTTGATTCATCGTATGGAGAGAGTATTATAATAAAATTAAAAATAATAAAATAAAGAATTTTAAATAGTAATAATAATTAAAAAAAAAAAAAAAAACTGGATGTTTGCATATTCTTTTTTTGGTTTGATTAGGATTTTTAATTTGAAATTCGAAAATTTGGATTTCTGTCATTTGATTTCCATTCCTATTGATTTTTCTTAAAAAATCGGCTTTGATTTCGCAAATTCCGAACAAATTCCGAATGAGGAGGAGGAGAATTATTTCTCTCTCTCGAGGTTCTGCTGTTTGCGGTAGAATCTCCCTTTGGGTCTCAATGGCTATAAATTCATTTGATCAGTAGACTACCATTTTGCATAATTGCAGGTATTTTCATTTCTTTTTCTTCTCGCGTGATTGATGAATTCGCAATGATTGCTTTGTTACCTTCTCTATTTAGTGATCTTTATCTACCTTAATCCCCCTCCCTTTATCGGGTAGTTTGGAAGCACAAGTAACTATGCTTCTGCGAACTGTGTTGAATGGGACTACTGGATTGAAATCGAGCTTCTTGCGGGTGACGAAGAGGTCGTTGTATGTGTCAGGCTTCGAGAGGGCTTCGAGAGATGGGGAGCTCAGAGTTTTCGTTGTTGCTGGAGAGGTTTCTGGCGACATTATTGGGTCGCGTTTCATGAACTCTCTGAAGAAACTTTCTCCTTTCCCTGTCCGTTTTTCTGGTGTGGGAGGGTAACATTTGGCATATTACTTTTCTCAGCATTGATTTTCATGAATTGTTTCTTTCGTACATGCCTTCATTTGTGGCTCATGCGACGGTTTGTTGAGCCTTTACATAGCATGATTTTTCTTATCTTGAATAAAAGGATAGATGAAATTGCTATGGAACTGCTTCATCTAAAAGTGTTAACCTATGAGATGCTTCATTATTGAAGCTGAAGACTTGCTGTATTTAGTGGAACTTAGCTAGAATTGTCAGAAAAATGTGACCCTACTGCAACAATACACATGAAATGAACTCAAGCAGACGGTTTGTTGAGCCTTTACATAGCACGATTGTTCCTATCTTGAATAAAAGGGTAGATGAAATTGTTATGAAATTTCTTATTCTAAAAGTCTTAGCCTATGAGATGCATCATTTTTTAAGTTGCAGACTAGCTGTATTTAGTGGAACTTAGCAGCTTGAATTGTCAGAAAAATGTGACCCTACTGTAACAATACACATGGAATGAACTTGTCATTTTGCTAATCTAGGTGATGCGTAGACAATGAGCTCAATTTACACAATTGTGGCTTATGTTGTAAATATCCTATGTTTTTCAAATCCTTTGAAATATTGCAATTCCTGCATGGTTTCAATTAATTTATTATGATGAGCGCAAACCTCTGTATCTTACCATATGCAAACCTAAACATTTACTTGAACTGAAGTATTTGTATTCCAATTTAAAAAATTGGTTTAATTTCCTTTAGGTTTTTCAAGATCTCATGCTTTGGGCGGTCTAAACCTTACTTATAAGAGGACAGAACATGTATACTTTATGCTTGAGTTATGTGGATGAAATTTTGTATGCTACTTTATCATCCTATTCTCATTAGCCATCTGCACCTGAACAGACCATACTTATTTCTCGACAAAGAAAAATCATAATAATATTTTACCTGGTCGATAAGACTCGAAGTGGGTGTCAAAGTTTGCTTTATTTTTCTGAAGGCATGGACATTGTGGTGCTAAAAATTAAATACCTATGGAGTGGAGTGATTGAGTTCAGCTCTGAAATGGGTGCATTTTCCGGTCTGCATACAATGTAGATACTGCAACAATGAAGATCATTTTACGGTCTTATATCTTTGCAATTCTTCAGATTGAAGATGGCACAACAAGGGTTAAGTTCGATATTTCCAATAGAAGATATCGCAGTAATGGGCATCTGGGAGTTGCTGCCTCATCTCAACAAGTTCAGGGTGAGGAAGCAATATCAAATTGTATTTGAACATCTCAGAATGTTTCTATGCATCATGTATTATGCAATTTGGAACTGCAAATTTTTAGGTCAAGTTGAAAGAGGCTGTTGAGTCAGCTATTACTTTCCAGCCACATGTTGTGCTAACAGTGGACTCTAAAGGGTTTTCCTTCCGTTTCCTGAAGAAATTGCGCTGTAAAATTTTTCTTCCTGCTTCAAAATCTTATTATAACCTCGTACTTTCCTTTTATGCAAGTGTCAATGATTTTGGCAGCTTTGTATAGTCACCAAAAATTGACCAGTCCTCAGCATTTTCACTATGTTGCACCGTCATTCTGGGCATGGAAAGGAGGTGAAGCAAGGCTTAAAGGTCTTTCTGAGTTTGTTGATCATGTCTTCTGTATCCTTCCATTTGAGGCAGCGATCTGTAGATCAAATGGATTAGCTGCAACATTTGTGGGACATCCAACATTAGAAGATGCATTGGAGCTGAAGGTAGCAATTTTACGTCTTTAATGCTTTCTCTTGTCCTCATAAAGAAGGGTTACATACACAATACTGCCTCTGAAATTTAACTTATTGATTTGTCTGCTTTGTGGAATTAATTTGCAAATAACCACTTGTTTCTATACAAGAGTGTTATTTCACTTCCATGTCTATTTTATTTTTTAAAGGCAAGGTGGTTGCTGGCATTTTTTTAAAGTAGTGTCGTTAAATATTACAGGTTTCACAAAGGATATTTTGCAGTTAACCTTAATCAAGAACATTTTAAAGACCTGATGAGGTCTTTTAAATAATTTCTCATGACTAACTCTTTTCATTTTGCAGATTAACAAATGCATAGATGAGTGGAGAGTTGATGGCAATGGAGATGCATTTCGGGAAAACAATGGGATATCTTCAGGTACAATTAAACCATTTTTGCATCTTAGACAAAGTGCTGCTGCTTTGTTGTTGTGAGCTTCTTTCATATGGGCATTTGTGTTGCTATTCTCATTTTACACATCTGAATGGCAGTTCAATTGATATAGAGAAAAGGTGTCACCGTAACATCTACATTAGTCTATGACCCTCTTCCACCAAGACATTTCTGCAATTTGTATAAATTTGGATTTGGGTAAAACTGTGCTTTTCATACATTTAAAGATTTAAAATCATTTTCTTCTATAAGTAGAAGATGACACCATTGTATCTACTCAGTTATTGTGGCATATGATTGTATTTGATATCCTATTCTTTATCTTACATGTCTACATTCACAAATAGGAGTTCTATGTATCTTTGAAATGTGATAGAATTATAAGAGAATAGTATGATGTATGTTAGCCAGTACTTCATTGTGTCTTAACCATGTGTAGAATTTTGATTGTAAGGATCAACAATCATTTCTGTGCTTCCTGGAAGCCGACTGCAAGAAGTTACACGTATGCTTCCAATATATTCACGCACTATGGAGCTGCTCAAAGGCACCTTCTCAGAATTGACTGCAGTTATTCATGTGGCACCCAATAAACAGGTTGAAGAGCATATCAAGAAAGCAGTCGATGAGTGGCCTATACCAGTTATCATGGTTGGAGGTGAATCTGCATTATTGAAATACAACTCCTTTGGTGTAAGTCTTTATCATTGCAATAATGCTACTTTTTATATCTAAATAAGTCCATGGCCAAAATCTGAAATTAATTGGAATTAGTAGTTGGAATTTGCAAATAAATTTAGAAATTGGAAGAAAAAAAAAAACTATTTAATATTTATGAACTTGGAATAAAAGTTATTCCAAAATTATATATTGTTAACCAGATTTGTTTATATAAATAGTATATATGTTCACGGGTGCTAATATTGTTTTATTAGAGATTTGTCTAAATTAGTTTATTTTAAAAACCTAAGAACCGACCAATGAACTTCCTGCATCTAGATTTTCGGCCCCGTCTTTCCCTCTTTTTTTTGTAAGCAAGCACGACAAATTTTATGCTGCTCATTTATTTATATCCTTTTTAGATATATTTAAGGGTGTCATACTATTACATAATATATATATTTTTTTATCCACACACTCACGCGCTCTACGGAGATTGAACCTCTAACCTCAAGAATGCCAAGGAGTGCTCAACCTTTTGAGCTACACCTCCTCGACATAATATAATGTGCCGAAGCAAATAATGGCATCGAATCTTGTTATTTTTCCTTCAGAAATTGGAGTTGTTGGGATGCAAATCCAAGTCCCACATCGAAAGTTGTGAAGAAAATTTCACACCTTATAAGTCCCAAGTGAACTCCACTAGAATGAGGCCTTTTGGAGGATATTCAAAAACAAATCCGTGCGGGCTCAGCCCAAAGCGGACAATATCATACTAGTGTTGAGTTGAACCCAGTCCCAACAGTGGTATCAAAGCTCGGTTAGATGGTGAAGTGGACTGGGTGGCATTGGTTATGGTGGTGGGCGGGTCCCTTTGTGATAAACGGTACAAGGTGGGCAAGGAAGGTCCATTGGTTGGTCCTTGGTTTGAGGAGAGGATTGTTGGGGTGCAAACCCAAGTCCCACATCGGAAGTTGTGAAGAAAATTCCACACCTTATAAGTCCCAAGTGAACTCCACTAGTATGAGGCCTTTTGGAGGATATCCAAAAACAAATCCGTGCGGGCTCAGCTCAAAGCGGACAATATCATACTAGTGTTGAGTTGACCCAGTTCCAACAATGGTATCAGAGCCCCGGGTGATCAATCGATTGCGAAATTGAAAGAAAATTTTATTATTGTTTGTATTTCAAGACTGTTAAAAACCAACCTATTTATCTTCTCATTTACGTTGATGATATATTGATTATTAGTCTATGTTTAAAGCTTATTGATCACGTGATTAAGTGTTTATGTAATAATTTTGACATGAAACTATTGGGTGATGCCAAAGTAATTTTGGGTATGTGTATCACTAGGGATAGAAAAAATTCAAGACGGTTTTTGAATCAGTCTACTTATATTTCGAAAATACTTAAGAAATTTTCTATGAGTGATGCTAAATTTGTTTATATTCCTATGACTTCTAATTTCGTGTTAAGTAGGGATCAATGTCCCAAATCAGAATCTGATTTTGAGTATATAAAACATGTACCATATTCTAATGCAGTAGGTTACATAATGTACTTAATGGTTAGCACTAGACCAAATTTAACTTATGCTATTAGTTGTTTAAGTAGATATATGTCGAACCCTGGTTTAGAACATTGGCATGCATTGAAATGAGTTTTTAGATACTTAGTTGATACAATAAATATTGATCTTGTATTTGGAAAACATACTGAAAATATTACATTAGAGGGTCTTGTGGATTCGAATTATGCAAATGATAGGGATAGTAAGAAAAGTACTACTTCCTATGTTTTTACTTTGTGTGGAACTTGTATAAGTTGGAAATCTCAATTGCAATACATTGTTGCACTATCCACTATAGAATCTGAATATGTTGCAATTACTGAAGCTTTAAAAAAAGCATTATGGTTAAAAGAATTAATCAGTGAATTAGGTTATATACAACATGTTGTTACTATTTTCTCGGATAGTCAGTCTGGAATCCCCTATATTTCATGATAGAACCAAACATATTGACGTGCGTTTTCATTTCATACGTGATATTGTATCTAAAGAAATTTTAAAATTAGAAAATATTCCATCTGAATATAATTTATCTGATATGAGTACTAAAGTTTTGTCTGCAAATAAATTTGTATTTTGTATGAAATACATACATTGTGATACCTTTGATTAGCCTTATACTACTTAGAGTAGTAGGTAGGCTAAATTAATGTTTTGTTAACATTATGTTTCTTCTTGTATGCAGGCAAATATATGGGCGATGATGTATCCCTTTACCATTCAAACAAAAAAATCAGGTGGGGGATTTGTTGGATTTTTTTATCCAATTAGATCCATCCAATATAAGATATTAAGTGTGTGTATCATATATTGGGGTGGATCTAATTGGATCAAAAAAATCCTACAAATCCTCCATCTGATTTTTTGTTTGAGTGGTAAAAGGGTACATCATCGCCCATATATTTGCCTGCATACAAGAAGAAACAAAATGTTAACAAAACATAAATTTAGCCTACCTACTACTCTAAGTAGTATAAGGCTAACCAAACGTATCACAATGTATGTATTTCATACAAGATACAAATTTATTTGCAGACAAAACTTTAGTACCCATATCTGATGGAATTTTTTTTAATTTTAAAATTCCTTTATATACAATATCACGTATGAAATGAAAACGCACGTCAATATGTTTGGTTCTATCATGAAATACAAGGTTTTTGCACAATTGGATTCCAGACTAATATTCGAGAAAACAATGTTGTAAATAACCTAATTCACTGATTAATCTTTTTAACCATAATGCTTCTTTTAAAGCTTCAGTAATTGCAACATATTCAGATTCTGTAGTGGATAGTGCAACAATGTGTTGCAATTGAGATTTCAACTTATACAAGTTCCACACAAAGTAAAAATATACGAAGTAGTACTTTTTCTACTATCCCTATCATTTGCATAATTCGAATCCACAAAACCCTCTAATTTAATATTTTCAGTATGTTTTCCAAATACAAGATCAACATTTATTGTATGTATCTAAAAACCCATTTCAATGCATGCCAATGTTCTAAACCAGGTTCGACATATATCTACTTAAACAACTAATAGCATAAGCTAAATCTGGCCTAGTGCTAACCATTAAGTACATTGTGTAACCTATTGCATTAGAATATGATACATGTTTCATATACTCAAAATCAGATTCTGATTTGGGACATTGATCCCTACTTAACACGAAATTAGAAGCCATAGGAATAGAAACAGATTTAGCCTCACTCATAGAAAATTTCTTAAGTATTTTCGAAATATAAGTAGACTGATTCAATTACAGTCTTGAATTTTTTCTATCCCTAGTGATACACATGTCCAAAATTACTTTAGTATCACTCAATACTTTCATGTCAAAATTATCACATAAACACTTAGTCACGTGATCAATAAGCTTTAAACATGGACTAATAATCAACATATCGTCAATATAAATGAGAAGAAAAATAGGTTGGTTTTTAACAGTCTTGAAATACAAATAATAATCAAATTTTCTTTCAATTTCGCAATCAGTTGATCACCCGGGGCTCTGATACCACTGTTGGGACTGAGCCAACTCAACACTAGTATGATATTGTCCGTTTTGGGCTGAGCCCGCATGAATTTGTTTTTGGATATCCTCCAAAAGGCCTCATACTAGTGGAGTTCACTTGGGACTTATAAGGTGTAGAATTTTCTTCATAACTTCCGATGTGGGACTTGGGTTTACACCCCAACAATCCTCCCCTCAAACCAATGGACCTTCCCTGCCCACCTTGTACAGCCTATCACAAAGAGACCCGCTGCCTAACCACCTCAATTGGAACCGGCCCAACACCGCCAGGAGACTTTCGACACAAGGCACATCCGCAGGTCACGAGGGCGAGGCGAGCCCACCACCACAACCAATGCCCAATGCCACCCAGTCCACTTCACCATCTAACCGGGCTCTGATACCACTGTTGAGAATTTATTTCCGGATCTTTTTGGATTTATCGAATAAAACCTCGTATACAAAAATACGACAATGAATTAACGGAAGCGAATTCGAATAAAACCAATACAACATTAAACCGAAATCAAACTAAAACTTAAGACTGAAGACACTTTGGACCGATCTGGTGGGTCGGGCTACAAAGTGGGCCAACTAATTATTTATCGAGGGATTTGTCGTGTTAGGCCTCGAACGGCCAAAATTCCCAACAGAAATAAAGCATATTGTTTTGTACGTATTTGGTGCTAAGGGTTATTTTAGGAAAACTAAAATTTTCTTCAGAAATTGTTGAATGGCTGTTGGATATGATGTTTTTTAATACATAATACTCCCTCCATCCCATAAATATAGTCTTAATTGGGTTGGGTACGGAATTTAAGGAATATTGATAATTATATTGGTAGTGGGTAAAAAGTATGGATAAAAGACTTTTTTGCCCTTGTGAGTGTATTAGTGTAAAAATTAGTAGCAATTGTGTAATAAAAATGAAAAAATAGGGGTAGTTTTATGGTGATATGGCTATTTATAGAAATAAGACTAATGTTTTGGGACGGACAAAAATGTTAAACAAAACTATTGTATTGGGACGGAGGGAGTATGCTTTTCTTTTATATGCTAATCTTAAATGAAAAATACGTGCTTGAAAGATTTTATTTATTTATTTATTTATTTTTTGGAGGGGGGTGGGGTGATGCATCTGTGAAAATGTACATGTACTTGAACACAAGTAAACAAACCTTCATTTTTAGACAGTTTTAATAAATATTGTAAGCATACTCATGGCTAACAGTTTGCAATTATATATATACAGGCAAGTAAAGTAGCACTGTGCACATCCGGGACGGTTGCAGTGGAATTGCAGCTTGCACGTTTACCTTGTGTTGTTGCGTATCGCGCCCATCGCATAACTGAATACTTCTTTCAATACAAAGCAAAAGTGCCATACATCTCGTTGCCTAATATCGTTCTAGATTCACCTGTAATACCAGAAGCTCTTTTCAAGAAGTGCACTCCATCAAAGCTAGCTTCATTGCTTGTGTAAGTTCATTTCTCTCTTTATATTTCGCACGCCATGTCATAAATTTCTGGATGAAAGAGAGAATGCTCTTTTCAATATTCTCCATGTTCTTTAAATTAAAGACTTCTTCTATACAAGTTAAATTACTGAATGAGCCTTGTGAAATCACAATATATATTCATGTTTGTCTATCACTAGTACGGGCTACTTACTTTTGAACTTATACAATAGAAAACTTACTAATATGTAAATATGTGTGCCTGTTTAGTGTTTTATTTTGGTGTATTTTTTTTTTTATGTGAAGTATAATGAATTGTGTCGATAATATAAAAAATAACATTTTGTATTGAATTATTAATTTATTTGTGTTTGATAAGTAATATAGTATATATATATATTATTTATATTATGTTAATATGTGTATATATTGTATTTTTATAAATATTAATCGGAAATTGTGTCAGCAAAAAACTATCGAGTGAACAAACAGTAATTTATAAATTATCCCTTGTAAAATATGAATTATTCAAAACATGTGTGTAAAAAGAACCACAACCTCTGTTGGTTTGTTGGACAGATATGGGTTCTATACCACATTTCTTGTTAAATGTCTCATTTTTTCCCTATTTTATCAAGAACACATTAGTTGTTTGCTTACCTACAGTTCCAAACCAGTGGGACTCGCAAGTTTTATTAAGACAAGTGCGTCGATTTATATATGTAGCGTGAAGCATCAGTGCTGTAATAAGTCATTGTCTTTTCTTGATTACATTGTCTTTTACATGTATATGCACTTTTTGTGGCTCTAAAAAAATGACTGATACCGCATAGACAACGGGTACTATAACATCTTTTTGCACGATGTCTTAATACAATTCCATTGATTGAGATGATCAGAACTCTTTCTATTTCAGGGACTTGATAAACAATGATGGTCTTTGTCGAAAGCAGATTTCTGCGGCTGGCAAGTTTCTGAAATTACTCGATCCTCAGAATTCCGTCCAGAATGAAACTCGACTTATTGAGGATAAAGCCCCGAGCATGATAGCTGCATCGGTGGTTTTAAACTGTATGAATTTTGTAGCTTAACAAATTCTTTTATGTTTTGAAATGTTTGTGATTAAACTAACAAATCATTTTTTATGAAATGTAAACTGCAGTCGTTACTCTTTGAGCGAGCTCTGAGTTACCTGAGGTGTGGCTGATTTGAATCTATGATCTCATGGTCATGAGTTAAGACATTCTTGTTTTGTAGCAATTTAATTGAGTTATTTTTGTCGGTATAGTATGAATTATTCCCTCAGTCCTAATAAATTGGTCCGGTTTTTCTTATTTGACTGTCCCACCAAATTGGTCATATTTCTTAATAAAGCAATAATTAACAAACTTAACTACATTTTACTATTACTAATATTTTTGTCTTTAAATTTTATTTGAGCCATACATTTTAGAATTGAATATGATGTTTTGAATAATAATATTTTAAATTAGAATAATTATTTGAAGTAATATAAATGTGTATTAATGTGATATTTTAAAATATTAAATTAATTTTTAATACTAATATAAAAAATAAATGTGTGTTTGTTTGTTCGTATTTTTAGTTTTAGATATTTTTTTATGTTAGAAATGAGAAATGTGTTGGCAATAAAAAAAAATAATTTTTTTGTAAAATTCTTATGTTTTTATAAATGTATATAGTGTATATATTGTTATCACCTAGCGTTTTTTAGATGTATGATATTTTGTGTTTGATATGAAAAATTGTGTAAAAAAATATAAAATGTATATTATTTTAAGTTAAATATTTGATATTTTGTAATGAATATTTGATTTTTTTTTTTACTTTTTTACTTTTATAAAAAGTATTTCGTATTATTTATTATTATTTTTTATAATCGCAATATATTTTTTACTTGGGCGGGTGTTGATAGTTAGAAATCGCATGTGTTTTATGTACATATCATATGCGATATTTGATTGATTTTGATTGGATTCTGCGTAATTTCGATGCGTATTGTTTATTTCTGACATGCAAGAAAAAAAAGACAAATTTGGTGAATTTTGAGAAAAATAAAAGAAAAAAAAAATTAGCATTGCACAGTCAAGTTAGTCATGACACGAGAATTTAATTAAAGGCCCAAAAGTTCGGCTACAAAATAGTTAGGGCAAAAATTAAATAAAAAGGGGATCGCCAGAGCACATACGCACAATAGAAGAAGAGAAGAAGACCGACAAACTCATAGATCGCGCAGAAGCAAATCGACAGAGAAAATTTTCCCTCTCCACTATGACTTTATCTTTATCTTTTATTCTTTGTTATTTGATTATGAAGTAGATATTTTTCTGGTTTGAGGGGTGTTAATGTTTTGGTTCTTTTTGTTTTAGAAATTCTTAATTTTCTTTATAAAAATTATTTTTAATTATCAATATTTGTCTAATTCTGAGAATAACGTTAGTGATTGTTAGATTGATTGAATATTTTGGTACCGATATTTGAATTAGTCTGATAATCTAAAGTCAATTCAGGTAGGATATCCGTAATTGTATTCACACTTGAATAAGTGACAACCGGGTTGAATAGTTCATTCCCGAGGGCTAGACAATCAAATCTAATTGCTCATCTTAAGTAGTAATTATTTTGAATTGGGTTTTTCTAGATTAGAATGCGATTAAACAATATTTTTTATGGCGCACCTAGGATTATTTGCTTAATTAGGGGTAGTTAACGGTCGTACCTTAATTATCTACACTGTAATGAAAAATTGGTTGTCAGAGCTTGTTGATAATTATAACCAATTTATTGATACTTTAATGAGAACTAACTTTATTGAATCAATGATAAAACACAAGTGTCATAGCTGCATCATCCTTGAGCCAGACATTCCTTAATAGCTAGTTCTCTTTTAATTTAATTGCTTTCTTGTTTTATTTTCATTAGATAATAAAATAAAATTCCCCCCGATTATTTACTGCATTAGATTACGAAAGAGTGAATCACACAATCCCCGTGGAGACGATCCCTTCCTCTGTATTACATTAAATTGTGATAACGGAATATGCGAAATATTTGATTGACTATCAGCTGTTGAGAAAACAAGATATTATTATTAAAAACATTGATTGGTAGTATTTTATAAGATTGAACAAATTCAAAAATTCGTTTATCACGTTTATCGCCATTAATAATTAAATTTAATTTATGTTTTCATTCTTCCCATTTATTTTTGGAAAAATATTACTCCCTCCGTTCCATAACAAAGTATTTATTTTTCCATTTTAGTCTATTCCATAACAAAGTATCTATTTTTCTATTTTAGTCCATCCCATAACAAAGTATTCATTTTCTTTTTTAGTAACTATACTTTTTACCTAACATTACAAATATCCTTACAACTTACAATATATTATACAAATGCCATTACCTTTATATTACACATATTAATAAGGTTATTTTAGTCATTTCTACTTTATTCCTACTATGTCCCAATATAATACTAATATTTCTAAACTACGTGCAAAAAGCAAATAAATACTTAGTTTCGGGACGGAGGGAGTATGTAAAATACTATTTAAATTAAAAAATTATATAATCACACTATGTTTTATTTTTTAATTACGTTTAGATTATTAAAATTAATTAGGGTTTGTTTGTTTAGTGAAATAGTTTGAAGAAATTTTTTCATGTGAGTATAGAAAATTTTGTAAATAATATAAAAATAATGAGTGTATGTTTGTTTGAAGGATTTGTGTGAATTTTTACTATTCACACAAATTTTTTTCCCCAAAAACATCAAATTAAACACATATTTTTCATTTTTTATATTATACTAAAAATCAATTTTACCTTCAAAACATCGTATCAATACATATTTATATCACATCATAGAACTATTCAAATTCAAATTTTTTATTCATTACTACTTTACAATTGATATAACATTAAAAAAAAAAATCAAATATATAATACTGAGCATAAAAGATTATTTCAATTTTTATTTTAATATTTTATTAAATAAAAATAATCAAAATAACAATGCATCACAAATATTACACAAACTAATTAAATTAATTAATTATTTAAACTAATATTTCTTAAACTGTTTACCCAAATGAAACAAGACTAATTTCGCGGGATGTAATTTAAGTAAACGTGTTTGTTTTATTTATATTTGCCTAAATATGGATCTGGATTTGAGGTTTTGGCCATGGCAGAACCTACTGATTCTTGGTTATCGAAAGGACGAATGACTGATTGTCTACGTATGTACAGGATTGTAAATTATTTAAATAATTTTTTTTAATTTGATATCCGACTTGAAATAAAAATATTTTTATAATTTTTTCTTATAAATATTTTAGGTAACAATTCGTAAAATACTCTCACTGTGTTTAATTAAATTTTTTATATATATTTTTGTATGTTTAACCATTGATATTTTTCTATTTTTATAAATTTAAAAAATTAAAATATATTTAATAAATATAAATCAATTTTTTTGTTTCTCTCTCTTGGAAAAAAAAATGAATTTTTAAAACTCTACCTCATTAATTTCGGTGCCCACTCCCAATAAAACATCTTTTTAACATCTTTTTTTTTTTTAGGGAGAGAGCATAGTGGAATGTAATATTGTAAACCAAATCAATTAGAAAAAGAATACAATTGATAATTAACATCCTTTATATGTTAAAATATATTATAATTTTTTGTATGAATTCCCACTGTATTTCTTTAAGTTAAAAGACTCAAAATTTGAACTTAATCTACCAAATTAAGAATATATATATTTAATCTACCAAATTAAGAATATATATATTAAATATAATAAGCAAAATCAAATCTATTAGAAAAACATACATATACAATAAAAATATATATAAAAAAAGTATCATTATATAATTCTCAAAACTATATTCATTAAAAAAATATATTGTATACAAATAAAACATGTTTTTATTTTGTTATTTACTTCTTTTCTTTTGGCGATCCTTTTTTTTTTCTTATTTTTTTGGTATCGCGATATAAATAAGAGAATTCATTGTTGAAAACTAAAAAAAATATAGAACAATAAGAATATTAAAATTAATATTACGATAGTTAATTTTTCACATAATCGAGTTTAAAATTTTAAAAACAAAATAAAGCATTTTACTGTAAAATTTCACTATATATTAATAGAAAAATGATATGATAAACAATAACAAATTATATTCGCAAATAAAATATGAAATGGATACGATAAATTTTAATATGAAAAATCTTTCAAGATAAAGAAAAAAAATCATGGGTTAGCCAGATAAAAAATAAAAATATACTATTATTAAATTGTATACAGGAATCTTTCAAGAATGCATATAAATACGTCTCATTTACCACTCAAATAATCAACAAAAATAACAAATTTAAGAAAAATCAAGATCAAGAAAAAACCCAAAAAATATGTTATATTCAGTAACATTCTAGTCGGACTACAAATATCCAATCGTAACCCACCAGTTGATTGAAAGAGTAACGAATCAAGAACACTTCCTAAAAATTTAGCTTAATCCGCGGTTAATGAAGTGGAAACCGATATTTTTCAAACCTGTGTAGTCTTGGGCGAAAATAACTTTTTCACTTCTTTTGTGGACGCTTAAAAACATATCGTAATATAATACTCGAAACTATAATATTTTTTTTAAAAGGTAAAATAGCAAAAAATTCCCCTGTGATTTTACGAATTCGCTGAAAACCCCCTGTGATTCTAAAATTCCAAAAAACCTACTTGTGCTTTCCAAAATGTTGCACACTCTCCCCCTTTTTAAATTTGACTAACATACGTTAAATTTTATCAAATTTGACAGTTATACCTTTACTTATATATTTTTTAATTTATTTCTCTCTTTTCTTATGTTCTTTCTTCTTTGGTTCATTCTTTTCTCTTCTCCCAAACTTCTTTTTTCCATCTTCTTTTCTTCCCCAAATTCTTCTTCACACATTTTTTCCTCAATTTTTTTTTTCTTCTTCTCTAATTCTTTTTCACGCCGCAGTTCCACCCGGTTCTTTTTTTTCTTCTTTTTCCCCCAATTTTTTTTTTTCTTATTCTTCATCTCCAATTCTTCTTTAAAAATGAAGAATTGGAAAAGAATAAGAATAGAAAGAAGATGACGGGCATAAGCGGCTGGAGTAGGGAAGAAGGAAGGAAGAAAAGAAAGAGAAAAAAGAAGATAAGGAAAAGAAGAAGAGGAGGAAAAAGGGGCTGGACACCAGTGTTTTTTTTTTGTCCAATTTTTTTTTTCTTTTTCTATTTCTTTTTCCCCAATTTTCTTTCTTCTTTAT